TGCCCAGGCCAAAACTTTTACAAATTTCAGAGAGTTACTATCAAACCAAACTTCATCTTTAAGAAGAAAATAATTAATTTAGAGATCCGTAATAGAAGAGCATAAACGACTCTAGCATGGTTGAACTGTTTAAAACAGTTTTTTCTTGTGTTTGCTTTGAGATAGAGTCTCACTCCATTGCCCAGGCTGGAGTGCAGTGGCACAATCTCGACTCACTGCAACCTCTGCCTCCTGGTTTCAAGCATTTCTCCTGCCTCAGCCTCCCGAATAGCTGGGATTACAGGTGCCCATCACCACACTCAGCTAATTTTTGTAATTTTAGTAGAGATGGGGTTTCGCCATGTTGGCCAAGCTGGTCTCAAATTCCTGTGATCTGCCTGCCTCAGCCTCCCAAAGTGTGAGATTACGGGTATGAGCCACTGCACCTTGCCAAAACACAGTTCTAATAATTTATGGACTAATAATAACAATAATCATCAAAAAAATCAAAATTGGAATAAAAGTACACTTAGAACTAAATAATGAAAATACAAATATCAAAAGTTGTGTAGTGCAGCTCAAGTCAAGCTTGATGGGAATTTAAGATCTTAAATGCTACATTTAGAAAAAAAGAAACCATGAGTTGGGTTTCACCCAACAAATTTTGAAAAGAACACAGAATAAATCAAAGAAAGTAGAAAGGAGATAATAAAGATAAGAACATAAATTAATAAAAGAGGCTGGGTGTGGCGGCTCATGCCTGTAATCCCAACACTTTGGAAGGCCAAGGCAGGCAGACTGCTCGAGGTCAGGAGTGCAAGACCAGCCTGGCCAACACGGTACAACCCCATCTCTACTAAAACTACAAAAATTAGCCAGGGATAGTGGTGGGTGCCTGTAATCCCAGCTACAGGAGGCCAAAGCAGGAGAACTGCTTGAACCCAGGAGGCAGAGGTTGCAGTGAGCCAAGATCACACACCACTGCACTCCAGCCTGGGCGACAGAGAGAAACTCCGCCTCAAAAAAAAAAAAAAAAAAAAAAAAGAGGCCGGGCAAAGTGGCTCACGCCTGTAATCCCAGCACTCTGGGAGGCCGAGGCAGACGGATCACAAGGTCAGGAGTTCAAGACCAGCCTAGCCAACATAGCGAAACCCCGTATCTACTGAAAACACAAAAAAATTAGCCAGGCATGGTGATGCATGCCTTTAGTCCCAGCTACTCAGGAGGCTGAGGCAGGAGAATTGCTTGAACACAGAAGGCGGAGGTTGTGGTGAGCCAACATCATGCCACTGCACTCTAGCCCGGCAACAAAGCAAGGCTCCATCTCAAAAAACAACAAAGAAAAGGAAATTCAGAAGAAATAAATAAAAGAGAAAACATAGACGCACCCGCACTCAGACCCCGAATGCATGCTGTGCACCCCACATTTCTTCCCTGCACAAAAATACCAGGAGGAGTGAGGCTCAATCTAGCCTCGTCCCAGGGCAGAGGTGCTGCTTTTGAATTCATCCATCTTTTGGGAGCCATTTGGTTTTTTGGTGGGCTTATTTCCTCCCATTTAAATAGACTTTAATGTTTAAAGCAGTTTTGGGTTCAGCAGAAAGTACAGAGAGCTCCCATACGACTTTTGTTCCCTCAACCTGCAAACCCTCCCGGTTCCCATCAACATTTCCCACACAGTGGTAAGTTTGTTGCAACTGATGCATCCACATCAAGGCATCTTAATCACCTAAAGTCCTTAGTTTACATAAGGGCGCACTCTTGCTGTACATTCTGTGGGTTTAGATGAATGTATAAATGATGTGTCCATCACTCTGGTATCATACAGAGGAGTTTCACTGCCCTAAAAATCCTGTGCCCCACCTATTTATCCCCTCCCAATCCACCTGACTACTGATCTTTTGACCATCTCCAAAGTTTTACCTTTCCTAGAATGTCAGACAGTTGGAATTATACAAGATGGAGTCTTTTCAGATCGACCTCTTTCACTTAAATAATATGTGTTTACGTTTCCTCCATGTCTTTTCATGGCTTGATAGCACAGTTCTTTTGAATGCTAATATTCCACTGTCTGGATGTCCCACAGTTTTTGAATCCATTCACCTACGAAAGGACATCTTGATGGATTCCAAGTTTTGACAACTACAACTGAAGCCGGTAGAAACATCCAAATGCAGGTATGTGTGAGCGTTAAGTTTCCAGTTCATTTGGATAGATACCAAGGAGTGTGATTGCTAGGTCCTATTGTAAGAATATGGTTTAGTTTTGTAAGAAACTACCAAACTGCCTTCCAAAACGGCAGTATAATTTTGCATTCCCACGAGCAAGGAACTGAAAGTTCCTGTTGATCCACATCCTCAACAGCACCTGGTGTTGTGGGTGGATTTTTGTGCCGTTACTGTAGTCTGGATTTGACTATTCTAATAGGTGCTTAGTAGTATCTCATTTTTGTTTGAGTCACTTATTTTCATTCATATAAAAAGTGTATGAGCTAGTTGTCTCTGATATAGCAAGTGTGAACCCCAAATATCTAAGATAGGCATTAGTCAATTAAGAAGGTCTATTTTGGCCGGGCACGGTGGCTCACGCCTCTAATCCCAGCACTTTGGGAGGCCGAGGCGGGTGGATCACGAGGTCAAGAGATTGAGACCATCCTGGTCAACATGGTGAAACCCCGTCTCTACTAAAAAGACAAAAAATTAGCTGGGCATGGCGGCGCGTGCCTGTAATCCCAGCTACTCAGGAGGCTGAGGCAGGAGAATTGCCTGAAGCCAGGAGGCGGAGGTTGCGGTGAGCCGAGATCGCGCCATTGCCCTCCAGCCTGGGTAACAAGAGCGAAACTCCGTCTAAAAAAAAAAAAAAAAAAAAGAAGGTCTATTTTGGCTGGGCGTGGTGGCTCACGCCTGTAATCTCAGCACTTTGGGAGACTGAGGCGGGCGGATCTCGAAGTCAAGAGAATGAGATCATCCTGGCCAACATGGTGAAACACCAAATCTACTAAAAATACAAAAATCAGCTCGGCATGGTGGCATGTGCCTATAGCCCCAGCTACTCGGGAGGCTGAGGAAGGAGAATCGCTTGAATTCAGGAGGCAGAGGTTGCAGTGAGCCAAGATCGCGCCACTGCACTCCAGCCTGGCAACAGAGTGAGACTCCATCTTTAAAATAATAAAAATTAAAAAACAAATTTCATTTTGCCAAAGTTAAGAACGCACACCCGTGACATAGCCTCGGGAGGCCCTAACAACATGTGCCTAAGATGATTGGGGCGCAGCTAGCTTTTTACATTTTAGGAAGACATGAGACAAATCAATATATGTAAGATGAACATTGGTTTGATCCAGAAAGGCCAGACAACTTGAAGCAGGGCTCCGGCTTCCAGTTAATAGGTAGGTAAGAGATTCTTTTGAGTTTCTGATTGGCCCTTCCACAGGAAGCGGGCAGATGTGCATTTATCTCAGTGAGCAGAAGGGTGACTGAGTTTCTGTCTGTCCTTTGTCCGCAAGGAATTTCCTTGCGGACAAATTGTGAGGGAGGTATGCAGCTTTTTAATCTTAGTAGCCATCTTTTTCAGGAATAGAAGTGGGGTGGCGGGGTGGGAGGTTGGCCCTAAGCAGTTCCCAGCTTGACTTTTCCCTTTGGCTTAGTGATTTTAGGGTCCCACGACTTATTTTCCTTTGACACAAGTAAGCCCAAAAGCTGGGTTTTCACAAGGACAACCAAAATATTAAGAACCTGAGAAAAGTCTAAACAAAGCATATACTTTGGTTTCTTTGAATCCTTTAATTCTGCTATATTCAAAACTGTGATGTGTCCCTTTAACTGGAAAATAGATGGCACTTTGCGACTTGGAGTTCAGACAAGTACGTTGGTGTTTGGGAACGGGACTACAAGGTAGGAAATTAGCGTCTCTCTCCTCATTGTGTGAGTGGCTGTTAAGGCAAATTTACCACTATGTGCCAAGCTCGGCCCAGGGCGTTAGACCCGCAAGAGCCCTGGATCCAGTGGAAGACGCAGAGGCTGTGGACACTGGACATGGGTCAGCGGGGGCCTCACGACGGAGCTGCCAGGCTCCACCTTGCGGGTGTGGGGAGGTCGGTTTGGTGAACAGACACCCAGACCCTTCTGACTGTCATCCAAGGAAGAAGGAAAACTACTCTAAAAAGGCAGAGAGGGCCAGGCACGGCTGCTCATGCCTGTAAATCCCTGCACTTGGAGAGGCCGAAAGTGGAAGGATCACTTGAGGCCAGGAGTTCACCTCTGTAGCGAGCCATGATCTCACCACTGCACTCCAGCCCGGGCGACAGAGCAAGGCCCTGCCTCAAAAAAAAAAATATTTTAAAATAATAGTAAGTAAATAAAACGGCTGACGGGGCATAGGTCGTCCTGTATGAGGGGAAGGGGCTGTAAGCGACCACCTGGGGTTGCTGCATTATCACGTAGACCCTCCTCTTCCGGTGTGGAAGGCCCTTTTTAATTTTTATTTATATTTTATTTTTTATTTTATGTATTTGTATTGAGACAGTCTCGCTCTGTTACCCACGATGGAGGGCAGCATCATGATGTGGGCTCACTGCAATGTCTGCCTCCCGTTTTCAAACGATTGTCTCAGCCTCCCAAGTAGCTGGGATGACAGGCGTGCAACACCACGGCCGGCTCATTTTTATAGTATATTTTTAGTAGAGGCGGGGTCTCGCCACGTTGGCCAGGCTGGTCTGGAACTCCTGACCTCAAGAGATCCACCTGCCTCGGACTCCCAACAGGTGTGCGACACCACGCCCGGCAAGTGTGGGAAGCCTTTTTTAAAAACGTAAACTCGCGTGCCCGAAAAGCCCTCTAGGCGGGGAACACCCGGAAGAAGCCACCTTCCAAAAACAGGGTAGAACCGGGGTGAAGCACGGAGGTAACGGGGAAAAGCGGAACGAGCGAGACGGTGCGCGCCCCTGGCCGCGCGTGCCCGCGCGTGCCTGCGTGCGCGTCCGTGCGGCCGTGACGGCGCCCCGGGCGCCGCCCTTTCTCGACGTGCGCGCGCCCGCAACCCGCCGCCCGACCGTAAAGAGGCTCCGCGGTGTCGTGAAAGGAGCCGCAACGCGCAGAGCGCTGGTTGACGGCCGGGACTCCATTTTGTTCGCCGCTATTCTGCTCGTAAGTCGCTTCTCTGTGGCTTCTCCTGAGGAGAAAAGTTGAAAAAGGGTATAAAAGTTTTCAGTCCTATTCGGGCTTTCTGTTGCTAAGCACAGCGAGTGTCGGTTTTCTCTCTGCAGCAGACATCGCGACTGCGGTTCCGAGGCAGCGGGAGGAGATGCGGCCCCTGGACGTCGTCGAGCTGGCGGAACCCGAGGAGGTGGAGGTGCTGGAGCCCGAGGAGGACTTCGAGCAGTTCCTGCTCCCGGTCATCAACGAGATGCGCGAGGACATCGCGTCGCTGACGCGCGAGCGCGGGCGGGCGTACCTGCGGAACCGCAGCAAGCTGTGGGAGATGGACAATATGCTCATCCAGATCAAGACGCAGGTGGAGGCCTCGGAGGAGAGCGCGCTCAACCACCTGCAGAGCCCGGGCGACGCGGCCGAGGGCCGGGCGGCCAAGCGGGGCGAGAAGGCGGAGGAGAAGGCCAAGGAGATCGCGAAGATGGCAGAGATGCTGGTGGCGCTGGTCCGGCGGATAGAGAAGAGCGAGTCGTCGTGAGCGCGGTCGGCGGTGAGTCGGGCACCCGCGCCGGCCGGGCCGGGGGGCGGGGGGCGGCGGTTGCGGGGGGAGGCCCCGGCGCCGGGGCGGGCGGGGGAGTCGCGGCGCGCGCGGGGCGGGGCGGGGCGGGGCGGGGCGGGGCCGGCCGCGTCGTCGGGTCCGGTTTTTGGACGGTGGCGGCGTGGGATAATCGGAGTGGCGGGGTTTGGGCGTGACGCGTGTGCGAGGGGAGGGTCGTCAGTCTCAGAGTCGCCGAGGAAACAAAAACGGACCGGGTCCGGGCCGTCCGGCGAGCGGGGGTGGGAATTGGACGGTTTTCGGGGAAGGAGTGGTACCGTTCAGCGTGGACGGAGACTGGGGGCGAGTCGGGGGCCGGCCCGGAGAGGCGGCGTCGGGCACGGCGGCGTTCGGGAGGGCTGGGGGTCGTCGTGTCCGGGATTCACCTCTCGATGATGAATTTCCTCCCGTTGTGCTTTAGGTTTGCAGCCAACGGATTCTGGTCGACTGGTGGCGATTGGCTGACACCCTGGAGAAGCTGAAACCAGAGAGCCTTTTGCTTTCTCTTTTTCCCTCTGTCTACGCTCTGTCTCACTTAACACTACGTTTTCTGCTATGGTCTGTGGTTAATGACCTCAATATGAGTTTTGATTGTTCAGTGTTTCTGTTTGGGAAGTAATTTTGTTTGGAAAACGCTCTCACGTGCAGGAATTAGGGCCTAGATTGTAAGCTCTTGCAGCAGTCACATTTGTTCCCGGGCTTTGGTTGTTATTTCTAAATTTTTGAGGTGCTTTGCTCTTTCTTGTGTGACCTGATAGCTCCCTGGAACTTTGGGTCTGTGTGTGGCGCATGAGACTCACAGTTGGAGGTCTCCAGCTCTGGAGGTGCTGAAGGAGCCGCATTCATTCTGGAAGACGAGTCCATGCGGCAACTACTGAGGAAAGGACCAGACTTCCGTGGGGAGTGCAGATGGGCCGACCTGGCTGGGACTCACGATCCTGGAGAAGAGCTGGAGAACGGATAGTGTTGTCTGTATTTGGAGACTTTAATTTCTGTGTGAGACCAAAGGAGGAGAGATGTATTTTGTTCAAAATTTCAATTTTATGTGGTACACTATCTGATGTAACCTATCTGGTGAGTTTGTTTGGACAACCTAACTCAGCTGTCTTTGACATGGAACCTGAAGTAGAGGATGAGATCTTGATAATCTGTTCAAGTTGATGTAATACTCTGATGCGTGTTAGGGGACTTGACATAAAATGAAAGATTTGCAAAGACCCTTGAGGGGCTGGGGGATGAGAATATGGAACTGTCTGCATTGGACCCTAAACTGGACTGGTACAGGCATCTTCAAGGTTCATACGTTGTCCAGCTATAAGTTCATTTCAGTAGCAGACCTAACAAATATTTGAGGTCAAAACCCTACCATGTTAAAAAAAAAAACAAAAAAAAAAAAAACTTACCATGTTAATAAAAGTATTCAGTTGCTTGAAAAGACAAAAGACCTAAAAGGTTATTAAGAAAAGTTATTCCTTTAAGAATGAAATCTGCTTTCTCCCAGATTGTTCTGTCAAATGAACTGTGAATGTCTTAGGTTTCTGAGGCTCTTAACCTCTACTCAAAGGGAAGCTTAATCTCCGCCTGCTGTTGGGAACTGGGTGAGGGAAAAACACACTGGTTCTTAGTGTAGGAAGTAACCGCATGTAATCCTGTAGCCCAGGCCTCTGCCTTCAGGGAGCAAAAGTACTTTCAGTGTTTCCAATTGGAACGTTGTTTTCTAGTCCTTGCACTGGGAATATAGCGATTGAAATTGTAGGGTGAGGGGCGACATACAGTAGATACGGCGATGTGCCAACCTCCTTCCAGAGTGAAGCATTTATCCCCCAGCTGCTAGAAGTGTTGCTGACAAGACACCCTTCAGCTGGTTGGCCCTCTGGGAAGTTCCTTTTCAGAGGAGAGCTGCTTTAGCAAAAGTTAATGTCCTTTCTCCTGAGTAACCTACATCTGCTGACTAATGGGCTGGAAATCTCAGGTCTCTATTTCTTTTACCCAACTTGGGACAATGTTGAGGGACATGGCTTCTGAGCTCCTTGTGGAGCCTGCTGAGGCTTTTGTTAGGACTGCATCACACAGCCCACCTCCTCCCTCTTCCCAGTTCTGCATTCCTTCTCTTCCACAAGTGTTAAGCCCTAAAAAATGTGTGCATAGTTTTCATCTTGGAGTCCACTTTCCGGGGAACCTAGTTGGTGGAAAAACAAAAGGAACCCGTTTATGTCCCAAGCACTAATAAAGATAGTGTGTCCCAGGAGAACACAGCAGGGGAGGTCTAGGACAGCTTCCCAGAGCGAGCAACTGCTGAGCTTGGCCTTGAAAGAGGAGTACAGCTTCCAAGGTCAGGAAGAGCATGAGAGGCACACCAGGCACAGGAAACAGAAAATGGAAGACGTTCAAGGTTTCCTGTGTGCGCTCCACACAGAGGAGTGGGGGAAATGTGTGGGATGGACCCGAGAGACAATCACCAAAGCTGCATTTCATACGTTTGCCGAACATTTAGCATTGGCACAACACTAGGAACTGGACTTGACTCTGATTTCGCCAGTTCCCCAGTACGGCCCTTGTTGTGTTCTGGGATGCCACATTGCATTGGGTAGTTGGTTTCTTTTAAGGAGTAATACTTAATAAATAACAAAAGGGATCCTTTCTCACTCCCCAGCTTCTCAGTTGCCCTCCCACGAAACAAGTTTCTTGTATATTCTTACAAATAGTAACGTGAATGTACATATCAAACGCCTTCCGCTATTTTTTTTGAGACAGGGTCTCTGTGTCTTGCAGGCTGGAGTGCAGTGTTGCGGCCACTCACTGCGGCCTTGACCACCTGGTGTCAGGTGATCCTTCTATCTCAGCCTTCTGGGTAGCTGGGACCAGGCATATGCCACCACTTCTGGCTAATTTTTGTATTTCTTTGTGGAGGTGGGGTTTCACCTGTTGCCCAGGCTAGTCTTGAACTCCTGGGCTCAGGTGATCACCTCAGCCTCCCTGGTAACTGGACCTACAGTGTTAGAAATAGATGCTTGGTACCATAAAGAAAAATTAGCACTGAGACAAAGGATCTTTCAGCAACACAATTTTTACTTCCTGGACTACAGGAAGGGGACCCTCACTAGCCATTGTGCCGCAGGAGTACAATGAACAAAGGAAAACACACAAATTTATCTCTTACAGATTTGGGGTCGTCCTTACTGCTGGGTCTGATCTCCACAGGGTCTGACTGGAGCCAGACCTCACAATCTAAACTAAAACCCAGTTGGCTAATAACTGAAAACTTTTCTAAACACGTAAAAGCAATGGAGAGCTGGGACATGCCTGTGAGCACGTCCAGCACAGACATCTTGGTTAAAGTACAAGGACATAGAATGTGCTACGTGCCTGTAAGCACGGGGTGTCTCACAGCTACATAGGATGGGGCTTAACAAAGTTATTAGCATATTTATTCTTTAACAAGAAAGGAAACTTTAAAAAGGAACTTTTCTACTTTCCACATACAGCCATGCCACTTCCCCGACCAATTTGTGTATTTTTCGTAGAGACAGGTTTTCACCATCTTGGCCAGGCTGGTCTCGAATTCCTGAGCTCAAACCATCCGCCTGCCTCTGCCTCCAAAAGTGCTGGCATTGCAAGCATGAGCCACCGCACCCGGTCCACCTGTTTTGTTTTGCACATCCATGGTAGCACACTGTATAATCTGTTCATGTCCTTCATTTGTCTGTTTACTTGGGAGTTTTTTCCTGTCTAACATCTAAATTGCATTCTTTTTTTTAAAGGCTGCATAGTGTTCATTCTTAGGCCAGAGTTTGAAAACTATTGTCCTAGAATCTTTCTAGTACTCCTTAGTTCCTTGTTTTTTATGATTCTGGTCACAGTCGCAATGTAGCAGCTAATTCCCAGTTGCCCCAGCTCCTGAATTTCATACTCCTGGCTTGCTAGCAATTGGAGAAGCAATGAAATCTTGCATTTTCTCAGCAAAGAATGTGACAAGAAGCCATTCTGAGAGTCTTATATGGCTGTACAGTCATTAAGTTTTCTGGCTGGAGTTGCCGTAGTTTTTTTTTTTTTTTTTTTTTTTTTTTTGAGACAGGGTCTCACTGTTGCCCAGGCTGGAGTGCAATGGTACGATCTCGGCTCACTGCAACCTCTGCCTCCCAGGGCTCAAGCAAGTCTCCTGCCTCAGCCTCCTGAGTAGTTGGGTGTGCCACTATGCCCTGTTCATTTAACTTTTGGTATTTTTAGTAGAGACAGGGTTTCACTATGTTGGCCAGGCTGGTCTTGAACTTCTGGCCTTAAGTGATCTACCTGCCTTGGCTTCCCAAAGTGCTGGAATTACAGGAGGGAGCCACCGCACCTGGCCCAGGTTTTTTTTGTTTTGTTTTGTTTTTTTGTTTTTTTGTTTTTTTTCAGACAAAGTCTCACTCTGTCTCCCAGGCTGGAGGCTGGAGTGCAGTGGGACAATCTCGGCTCACTGCCACCTCCGCCTCCTGGGTTCAAGTGATCCTCCCACCTCAGCCTCCTGAGTAGCTGAGACTATAAGCACGTGCTACCACTCCCAGCTAATTTTTGCGTTTTTAGTGGAGATGTGATTCTGCCGTGTTGCCTAGGCTGGTCCCAAACTCCTGGTCTCAAGTGATCCACTGACCTCGGCCTCCCAAAGTGCTGGGATTACAGGCATGAGCCACGGCACCTGGCCCATCATTTTTTATTATAGATCCATATGTGTCTCATGAGGCTCAGGCTCTCTGTCCCTTTCTTGACAGTCCTCCAGAGTCAGGTCATAAACCACCGTGCAGAAAGGTCTGTTGGCGTATGGGTTCCTGATACTGCAGAGGTCACCCATCTTTGCTCAGTACTAAGGAGGTGTTTCAGGTGGGACAAGTGTCCTCATCAAAGTGTTACTACAGAAGGAAGCGTGGGGGCTGCGGGAGGGAGCACAGAGGCATCACCTACCCCAACCTGGGAGGTCAGAAAAGGCATCCCTCCAGGAGGAGATGGGAGAGGTGTGTAACAAGCTCTGAGGAGGAATGAAGGCGAAGCATGGAGAATGCTCGGAAACTGCTGGTCCCATCTTGGTCAGAATCAGGCTGCAGAGACCACAAAGTGCTGCAGAGACCACAAAGTACTGCAGAGGCGGCCGGGCATAGTGGCTCACACCTGTAATCTCAGCACTTTGGGAAGCTGAGGTGGATGGATCACGAGGTCAGGAGTTCGAGACCAGCCTGGCCAACATGGTGAAACCCCGTCTCAACTAAAAATACAAAAAATTAGCCAGCTGTGGTGGCAGGAGCCTTTAATCCCAGCTACTCAGGAGGCTAAAACAGGAGAATTGCTTGAAGCCAGGAAGCGGAGGTTGCAGTGAGGTGAGACCGTGCCACTGCACTCCAGCCTGGGCAACAGAGCAAGACTCTGTCTCAAAAAAAAAAAAAAAAAAAATACCGCAGAAGCCTCTGCATCTGCATCTTCCACCAGCTGAGATGCCTTGGAACCACAAACTTAATTCTGATGGACATCAGGTAGAACTAGGACCAGCCAAAGACACAATCAACACTCTGAGGGGACAAAAAAACAAGTGAACAGATGTCTAACCCGTTGTAGGGAAGACAGTCCAAAGAGTTCCTAATCCTGCTGAAGATGAAACCTCAGGGCATGCGAGGCTGCCACGGAGTGCAGGGGCAGGGAGACGGGGACCCCGCTTCACCTCGTTCTGCTGCCTGCCCTTGCTGATCCTGAACTAACACCGGCTTCTCTCTGAGGTTCTTTCTACCCTGCCATTCTGTGTGACTTGCAGTGCTAACGCTTTTCTAGGTTAAAATATAAAATTCGTTAGTGCTGTTCACCAAATAAATTTCGATTTTCTGCCTTCTAGGCACAGAGTAAGATGGCACTTCCTGCCCCCCTTGGGATTGGGTGAGGCCCTGTGATTAATTCTGGCCAACGAGTTACAAAGGAAAGTCACATCTGTTGCATCCAAGCCAGAACCTCCAAAGTGACACCCTGCAAAGCCCTCTCTTCCCTCTGGCACAGGAACCAGCAACATTCCAGATGGTGGCTGATGGTCAGTCTGCATTTCCTTAACAAGCAGAGTTCCCTGCCAATCTGTCATGAGCATGTACCACAAACAAGGAAAAACCTTAGTTGTTTTAAGCCACTGAGATTTGGGGATTGTTTATTACAATAACAACTTAGACTAAGATGACTGACCCGGATGCTCATTATTCCTTCCATTTCTAGCGTTTTGATGAAAGGGTTGTTCTCCCTTCTACCTGAGGCCCGCCAATCACACCCCTCCCGCTAGCCCAGGCATGGTCCAACAGGTGATCTCCCATCTCTGGTCTTCACGCGTTTCTCTTGATTTTCCTATGCCTTCTAATGACTTCAAGGTGAAAGAAAATGCAGATTCAAACTTCTGCTCCTGGCCATTCTCCCCCTTCCAGGCAGCAGGTAAACATGGAGC